ACTTTGCAGGAGAGGCTGCTTGAGTGAGGACGATGTGAGGCCAGGGCCCCTCTACCCCTTTACTCCTGGTGAAAAAGGTTGGCCAGGCCCTGAGCAGAGGCTTCTGGAGAAGCAACATGGCTGAGACGCTGCCTCTGGGCTCTGAGGCACCCAGCTCTGGGTTCCTGCCTCCTTAACGTCAGATTGGATTTGCCTTTGGTTCCAAGTCTCCCAACCTGAAATATTCCTGAAATATTCTGTATCCATGAGTTGGAAGTCACAGCAAGGGACAGAAGACAAAGGGCCTCGGAGTTGGGCAGGGATACGTGCTGGGCAAAGACAAAAGGGACACAGGATGCCTCTGCCCCTGAGTTACAGAAATGCCAGTGTCATTGAGAAGAATCCTGGGGAATTTGTTCTTTTGCTCTCGGCCCAGCATCTTGGGAGGTGGAGACTCTTGTTAACTAAGAGTGGCTCAGTGGGCATGGGATTCAAGACCTGGGGAGAAAGGGAGGGATCAGTGTAGCCCCTCCTCCTATTCACCCCACCCCTAGCCCAACCAGACCTGACATTGCCCCTTATATATTACCCATCTCACCCAATTACAACAGCAAAAACATTTATAATTTTTATGTCTCTTTTCACAGAAACCCCAGAGAATAAAACATGGAATAATCAATCACTTATTCATTCAACACTATGGTTGGCCATCTACGATGTATCAGATGCCTGTCACACTAACCCAGCAACAGGGATTAGCACAATGCAACTGGGAGGGCTGTCCTGGGAGGAGGGCAGCCTGCTAGGAGAGCCAGAGGTGAGGGCTGTGCCACGTGGGGGTGAGGATGATTGGGGAGATGACATTCCTCAGAGGGGTGGCTTGGAGCTGGAGGTGAAAGACTGAGTGGGGGTAGGCCATACCTGGTCCTCGTTGGCTCAGCTGGAGAAAACCTTTGTGTCTGAAGAAACATCTCCACTGCTGAGAAGTAGTTTAGGAATTACTACAGTATCCCCTTATCTACAGTTTCATTTTTTGCAGTTTTCCACAGTCAACCATATCCTAAACATATGTGGAAAATTCCAGAAATGAACAATGCATAAGGTTTTTAATTTCATGCCAGCCTGGGGAGTGCGATGGAGTATCCTGCTGTCCCACTGTGTCCCAGACAAGATGTGTTCAGTGTTTCCACAGTGTATACGCTACCTCCCTGTTAGCCAGAGATCACTAGAGATGGGGTTTGATCACCAGATGGAATACTGGGGATCACAGTGCTTGTGTAGGGTTTGGTACTGTCCATGGTTCCAGACATCTACTGGGGCTCTCAAGACCCAGTCCCACTCAGAGAAGGAAGGACTACTGTGCCAAACAATAGGTCTTTCTGCCCTTCAGCTCTCTCACTTAAGACACCTGCATCAACACACCCAGAGAGCCTGGGGTACAATTAGCCCCAGCTGGGTTTTGCAGCAACCCCTACTACCTGGATTCCAGTGTGGCTTGAAGACTGTCTGCATCAGAAGAGCTCATTTCTTTTCTCTCTCTCTCTCTCTCTCTCTCTCTCTCTCTCTCTCTCTCACTCTCTCTCTTTCCGGAACTGGGGATTAAACTCAGGCCTTTGTGCTTGCCAGGGAAGTGCTTTTTCCACTGAGCCATCTCCACGACCTCAAGAAGAGCTCATTTCTGGTGAGGATCTAGGGTGGGCTCAGTAGTAGCATCCAGAGTGTTGAGACCAAACGGGAAAACAGGTCACCTGATTCTAGAGGCCAGAAACTCAATGAATTTAAATGCGAATGTGGGTGACCCTTTGGTGGAAGTTGCAAAGCCACCGAAGTTAGTGGGTGAGACTGTGCTGTGTTGGGGAAGAGACGCTGAACTTCCCGGGGCCTGGAACATTCTGGGTGATTTTTTTCCTTCCACTACTCAGGCTTGAATCTATAGCCTTAGGCCTGCTGGCTACTCTACTAATGAACTCCCACCTTTTTTATTTTATTTTGAGATGGGGTCTTGCCAAGCTGCCCAGGCTGGCCTGGAACTTCCAATCCTGACTCAGCCTCACAAGTGACTAGGATTATAAAGGCATGCCCAGTCATGCACGGTCTATGGACGCTTTTATTTATTATTTTGTATTTTAGGGAAGGGTCTACGGGTGCTCAGGGTCTCACTGCTAGATTGGACTCATAGTGATCGCCTGTTTATCCCAAGAGCTGGGATTATAGGTGCCCCACACCCAGTCTCAATTGCTGTCTCAGCGTGCCCCCGGGGATGGGGCTGGCACAGCAGGCCCAGGGATCAAGCCCCCAGTCCCTGCATTTGCTTGCAGGTGCTTAAGCAGGAGCTTTAATCTGCTGAGCTATTTGGCGGGCCCTGGATGGTTTTAAATAGTGTTATTTCAGTTTTGTTCTTGGAAAGAGTGATGACTTCCAATTTTAAATTCATTCTGAGCACATTTTGGATTGGTTTTTGTTTGTCTAGAAAGGATTTAGAGAAAGAGTAATTAAAGAGGTGAGAGCCAGTGGGGGAAAGAGACAGGAGACAGACAGGACAGATACCAAGGAGCTGTGCTTGCGTGCAGGGCTAGGCTGTGGTTTCCAGACATGTGTAAAGAGGTGACTACCCAGAGGACTTAGGACTTGCTGTCAGGTAACAGCTGCAGGAAAGGCTGAGCTAAGAGGTGTGATACAGCACAGGGTTTAGGATCAGGAAACTTG